AGAGAGAGAGAGAGAGAGAGAGAGATAGGGAGAGAGAGAGAGAGAGAGAGAGATGTATGTACTTATGTATACATCTGTACATTTATATATATATATATATATATATATATATATATATATATATATATATATATATATATATATATATATATATATATATATATATATATATGTATATATATATATATATATATATGTATGTATATATATAAATATACATATACATATATATATATATATATATATATATATATATATATATATATATATATATATATATATATATATATATATATATATATATATATGTATGTATATGTATATACATATATGTGTGTGTATATATATATATATATATATATATATATATATATATATATATATATATATATATATAGATAGATAGATAGATAGATAGATAGATAGATAGATAGATAGATAGATAGATAGATAGATAGGTATGTATATACATATATATATATATATATATATATATATATATATATATATATATATAGATATAGAGAGAGAGAGAGAGAGAGAGAGAGAGAGAGAGAGAGAGAGAGAGAGAGAGAGAGATAGATAGATAGATAGATAGATAGATAGGTATGTATATACATATAGATATATATATACATATATGTATATATATATATATATATATATATATATATATATATATATATATATATATATATATATATATATATATGAATATATACATATAAGTGTTTGTCATACGATGCGTATCTTTACTATCATGAATACAGCAGTAAATTCTGTGGAAGGAAAAAAAATAAACTACATCAATACACTAGACCAGTTAGTTTACCAATTAAATCGAGATTATGCGTGATCACTGACAGACAGGAGACGATTTAAGGATGCAATAAAAAGGAAAAATCTGCACAAATTGTTTACTAATTGTGATGCCAAATTTGGACTGGCTTGATTAACTCTAATTAATTGCTCATTTGCAGCCCTGGTGTCTAATGTCACGAGCTATTTTTTATGCTGTTTGGATTTTTTTTCTCTAATGTATTGTATATTTAAATAATTAGCATGAATTAAGTAGTTATAGAGTGTTTATTATTATATTTTCTTTCCTTTTTTATACTCTTTCTCTTCGTTCATTTTTTTTTCTTCTTTCTTTCATTTTTTCTTCTTTGTTTTCTCTTTTCCTTCTTCCTCTTTCTTTTCTCCTTTTTCTCACCCTTTTCTTCTTCCTTTATATTATCTTCCTGTTCGTTTTCTTTCTCTTCTTCATTATTTCTGAAACCTATTTCGTTGTTCCAGAAATCTCTCATTAAGCCCTGGTTATCGTAAGTCTTGAAAGATTTATAATTGCAATGCTTTAAGAAAATATAACATAAATAACAATTAAAAAATAATAATAATAAAGAATTTAGATTTAAGATTTTTTAGAAATAATCAAAACCCATTACAAGAAGTGGCTAAACAACAGAGATGTTTCATAGACGTCACGAGCATGTACTTTAAGAACACAAACGCGTAACATGCAGGAGACCAACTCACCCGTGTGTCCTTGCACTGACACAATTCCTCCCCCACCGTTTGGTCCCGTACTTGAAGTCGTACACAACATATCTGACCTACCACGACCTCGCTTGCTCCGCGGCCATGACCTAGGTTCATGGATGAGTCCCCGAGGTGGCTGGTGGTGCGAGGCTACCACGGCCTCGCCCTCAGGACGCTGCAGAAGGCGGCCAGATGGAACAAGGCCTCGCTCCCACCGGCTCACAGGATCCTGCAGATTCTCAAGGACGGGCAGCATGAGGTGAGTGCGTTGAGGGGAGAAGAGGGGAGAAGGGGATGAGGGGAAGGGAGGGAGGGGTGGAGGGGGAATTGGGAGTCGGGGAGAAGAGATCAGAAAGAGAGAAGAGGGAGGAAGGGTAGGAGTGAAGGGGGAACTGGGAGTCGGGGAAAAGAGGGTGAGAAAGGGAGAAAGAGAGAAGGGGAGAAAGGAATGAACGGGTGGAGGGGAGATTGGACGTCGGGAGAAGAAAAGAGAAAGAGAGAAAGAGAGAAGAGGAAGGAGGGGAGGAGTGGAGGGGGAATTAGGAGTCAGGGATGAGTGGAGGGGAGACATGAGTCTGGAAGGAAGAAAGAAGATAAAAGACGAAGAGGAGAAGGGGTAAATGGATGGAGGAGGCTCTAGAATGAGAAGAGAAGAAGAGGAAAGGGGAAATTAGAGGAAGGAACGGTGGAGAGAGGAGAGGAGGTAAGGGTTTTGGGTTGAATAGGAGAGAAGGGGGGGGGGGGGGAATAGGGGTAGAGCCAGAGGGGGTGTGGGAGAAGTGTGTGTTTGTTTATAAGTGCGTGTACTTGTTTATATATTTGAATGTATGCTAGTGCGTGTGTGTGTTCGTAGGTGCGTGTGTGTGTAAGTAACTAAGTAGACTTTGGCTTGCGTACAACTATACGTGTAAAAAAACGGAAAAGGGGGAATAAAACAGATAAGCGAAAGAAAAGAAAAAGAGAGAGAGAGAGAGAAAGAGAGAGACAGACAGACAGACAGACAGACAGACAGACAGACAGACAGATAAAGACAGGAAAAGAACAGACAGACAAGTTGAGGTGGAGTTGAGGAAGGCGGAGGGGGAGGAAGGTGGAGCGTAGTGGATGTGGAGAGGAGGAGGTGGAGTTGAGAGAGGTGGAGGAGAAGGTGGAGGGGGAAAGACATACCAAAAAGCCCGTCCTTGCCCATAGCAAATAACTATACGGACACTCCTCTCCTTCCGAATATAAAGATTTTCGAACAGTTTACTAAACTATAACTGATAAACCAATTACCTGACGGACCTTTAATCCATCATTAATCTCCTCTCTCAGGTACACCCACAGAAGAGGCATAACCCGGATGATACTTGTAGTTTCAATGGGCTGATAAGGATGTACGTGGAGAGTGCTTTCATTCTGTTCAGGTATTCTTTTTTTTTTCTTTGGTATTATTATTGTTTTTTCTTCTTTCTTGTTGTTGTTTGTTGTTTTGTGTTCTTCCTCTTTTTTTCCTTCGTGTTCTCTGTTTCTTATTTGTTTTTTTAGATTCTTGTTTCTTGTTGTTGTTTTTTTTCTTACTTTTTTTCCTTCGTGTTCTCTGTTTCTGATTTGTTTTTTAGATTCTTGTTTCTTGTTTGTTTTTTGTATTCTTCCTTTTTTTTCCTTCGTGTTCTCTGTTTCTTATTTGTTTTTTAGATTCTTGTTTCTTGTTTTTTTTTTGTATTCTTCCTTTTTTCCCTTCTTGTTCTCTGTTTCTTATTTGTTTTCAGACTCTTGTTTATTTTGTTTTCTGGACTGATTTTTAAGGAAGGAGGAAGTGAGAAGAGGAGGATATGTGAGAGTTTGTCTTAATTAACAGTGCGGGTTAATTTCCTCGTGATTAGTTTTAGAAATGTGTTGGCAACAAGGCGTAGTCTTTTTTTATTTTTGTTTTTATCTTTCAGTCACTTTTTGTATTTTATTTTTTGTTTCTACACTCTACATCTCTTTCCGCCTCTCTCTTGTCTCTTTCTCTCTCTCCTCTCTCTCTCTCTCTCTCTCTCTCTCTCTCTCTCTCTCTCTCTCTCTCTCTCTCTCTCTCTCTCTCTCTCTCCCTCTCTCTCTCACACACACACACACATACACACACACACACACACACACACCCACACACACACACACACACACATACACACACACACACACACAAATACATATATATATATATATATATATATATATATATATATATATATATATATATATATATATATATATACATATATATATATATATATATATATATATATATATATATATATATATATATATATATATATATATATATGTATATGTATATATATATTTTCTTTTGCAGACTCCTTTCTATCTCTTCCCTCCTCTCTCTTGTCTCTTTCTCTCTCTCTCTCTCTCTCTCACACACACACACACACACACACACACACACACACACACACACACACACACACACACACACACACACACACACAAATATATATATATATATATATATATTCCACTCTGCCTCTCTCTGTTTTTTTCCATCACTCTACCATCTTTTCCGCATTCAATACACAATCGACCTTCCAATCATCCTAAAAGTAGAAACGTATCTCCCCAAACCCTCCTTAATCCCCTGCCTCGCCTTCCCTTCCCCTTCTCTCTCTCCCACTCTCTTCCCTATTACAGAACTCCCCGCCTTCGCATCATCACTCTGTGCATGTACATCGACTACCTCATCGTCGGGATGGTGTACTATGGACTCTCTCTCGGCGGAGGCAACTTCAGCAGCGACCCGTTCATCTATATGGTGTTAATGGGCGTGATGGAGGTGCCTGCGTATACTGTGATGGTGCCTGTGGTGACGAGCTTCGGCAGACGAGCCCCCACGGTCTTCTTCTTCCTGTTTAGTGGGGCTGTTTTGCTCTGTTTGCCTTTCATTCCTTTGGGTGAGTTGGGGTTCGTGGTGGGGAGGGGGTTGTGTGAGAGAGAGAGAGAAAGGAAAGGAAATGTGGAGATGGGGGGATGGAAAGAGAGAGAGGGAGAAAGAGAAAGAGAGAGAGAGAGAGAGAGAGAGAGAGAGAGAGAGAGAGAGAGAGAGAGAGAGAGAGAGAGAGAGAGAGAGAGAGGAAGAGAATGTTGCCACACGTGTAAGGACAGAGGCAGTACCTACAAATGATTGAACATCTTAAGTCATACAAATAACATTATTCACTTACGTGAATAATGTATAATGAATAATCTTATGCATTTCTTCACCTGGTGCAGCATCTCACAGAAAGGCAATAATACTATCACCATCGCATCACTATGTACGTACGGTAATTCTTTCATTGTCATACGGAATATGTAATTACATATGTACTCTAATGTTGTCATTATCACACCCAATCCCCATTCTCTAGTTCACTTACCCCCTTCTTCATTCCCCTCTCTCCATGTCCCTTTTTTCATTCCTTTTCTGCCTTGCCCTAAGATCATCTCCTGTTTACTTTTCCCTGATCTTGTTTTCCCTTGTCTTGTCGTCATTCTTTCTGTCTCTTACCATCCCTCCTTTTCTAGCTCTATCTTCTCCTTTCCCTTGCCCTACCTTCTTCCTTTCCTTACCGATTTCTTATCTTCTCCCTCTCTTTCTACCTCCCAACTACTTTACCCACCTTAACCCCTCCCTCTCTCTCTCTCTCCACCCACCCCACCTCAACCCCACTTCAACCCCCCCATCCTCTCCCTCTCCACCCAAACACCCCACCCCATCCACCCACCCTCTCCCTCCCCTCCCGCCCACCCACCTCCACCCCACCTCAACCCTCCCACTCACCCTCTCCCACCCCACCCCCACCCACCTCAAATCCACCCCTCTCCACCCCAAATCACACCAACCCACCCACCCATCTCCCTCCCCCAGGATGCGGCTGGCTCGCGGTCACGTTAGCGATGATCGGGAAAATGATGATCACGTCTGCCTTCCAAATCATCGCACTTTATTGCTCCGAACTTTTCCCGACGGAGGTGAGGACCCGCGGCGCCAGTACAGCCTTCATGATGTCTCGTCTCGGCTCCACCTGCTCGCCCTTCATCACCGAATACCTTGTGAGTTCCTCCGTCAGTAGACTTTGGGGTGTGCGGATGTGTACAGATGGAGAGTTGGCTGTGGGTATAGATATGTAGGTGGATGGATAGATGGATGGATGGATAGGTAGATAGATAGATATATAGATAGATTGATAGATAGATTGATTGATGGATAGATTGATTGATTGATAGATATTTATTGATAGATAGATATTGATTGATAGATCTCTCTCTCTCTCTCTCTCTCTCTCTCTCTCTCTCTCTCTCTCTCTCTCTCCATCTCTCTCTCTCTCTCTCTCTCTCTCTCTCTCTCTTCTCTCTCTCTCTCTCTCTCTCTCTCTCTCTCTCTCTCTCTCTCTCTCTCTCTCTCTCTCACTTTCTCTTCCATGATAATAATATACCATGACTATAATAAAATTCTCTACGAATAAATCATGATGAACAATAAACAAACATGAATCACAGAAGGACACACACGAATAAAAATAATAATAATAATTAAACAAAAATAAAAAATATATACTAGAAAATAAAAAGAAAAACGGTTTCCGACCCAATGACCACTTTTTCCAAAAAACATTTTTAAATCTAACTGACCACAAGTCCAAAATCATTTCAGATTTCAGTGACTACCAATCGTATAAACTTTACAGTGGGAAAAGCCACCCACTGCCCTTTTAAGGTTTTGTTAAATAGATTTCTGATATTTGCTTTATATATAAGTTTCTGTATTTTTTCCGTATTTTCTGGATTTTTTTTGGATTTTTTTTGTTCATTGGAGAAAATGTAATGGGTATAATTTTGTTCAATATGATGGTGATGATGATGATGATATTGGTGATGGTGATGGTGAGGATGATGATGATGATGATGATGATGATGATACTAAATAATAGTAGTAGTGGTAATAATGATAATAACAATAATGATAATAATGAAAATAATGATGATGTGATGATGATAATAATAATAATAATAACAATAATGACAATAATATTAATAATAATAATGGTAATAATAATAATAACTATAATAATAATAATAATAATAATAATAATAACAGTAATAATAATAAGGATAACAATAATAACAAAAATAATAATAATAACAACCATAATGATGATGATAATGATAATGATAATTATAATATTTTTTCATCATTATTATCATTTATGATAATGGTGATGATGATGATGATTATTCTTACCATTATTATAATGATAATAATAACAATAATAGTAATAATAATGATAATGATAAAACAGTAATAAGAACATCAGTAATAATATTGATAATGATAATGATAATGATAATGATAATAAAGATAATAATAATAGTAATAATAATAATAATAATAATAATAATAATAACAATGATAATAATTATTACAATGATAATAGTAATGACAATGAAAATACATATAATAATGGTAATGATAATAGTAATAATGAGAGAAAGAACAATGGTAACAATAATGATAATGATGATAATAACAACAATAATAATGATAGTAATAATAATGATAATAACAATAATAACAATAATAATGATAATAACAATAATAATGATAATAACAATAATAATGATAATAACAATAATAATGATAACAATAATGATGATAATAGCAAAACAACAACAATAAAACAATAATAAAGCTTTACCAGTAGACAACATTTACAAAAAGAAAAATCCTGAGTTTACCCTCTGAGGCGAAAATCCTCACTTACCCTACAAATAGACAAATAGATAGAACTAGAAAGCTTAAGAACTGATAGATAAAAATGTTTCCCAGGGCGCGGCGTACCCATGGGCGCCCTCAGTGGTGTTCGGAGTATCGTCCATCGTCGCGGGTCTGGCAACACTGGCACTGCCCGAGACGTTGGGCGTGGCACTGCCTGACACCATCGCCCACCTGGAGGAGAGGGCAGCGCTGGGCACGAAGAGGTAGGGAGGGCATCGCTTTTCTTTAATTCGTCACTATTTATTCTTCTTGGTACAAGAGCGCGCTCGCGCGCACACACACACACACACACACACACACACACACACACACACACACACACACACACACACACACACACACACACACACACTCAAACACACACACACTTTCCCTTAAGTAAAGGGTGGTAGATAACTGACTGAAAAGTGTACATATATATAATATATATATATATATATATATATATATATATATATATATATATATATATGTCCGTGTGTGTGTGCGTGTGTTCGTGTATTTGTATAAATATGTGTGTGTATATATATATATATATATATATATATATATATATATATATATATATATATGGATATGTATAATATATATATGCATGTATGTATCTTTGTATTTATGTATATAATATGCATATGTATGTTTACACACACATATCTAGTATCCTGTGTAAGGTGTGTGCTTGTATGTACGTTAGTTTTACTTTCCTCGTTTTAAACCTCATTTCCCACCTTACTCTTGCCTGTCTTTAGTCACACCAGTTTACTCTTTCACTCGCCCTTCCCTCCTCCCTGTTCCTCAGAATGTTCCTCCGGATGCTCACGCGCGAGTACAACTCTGGCCTCCGCTTCAGTCCCGCCCTCACTCGCCCTCCTCGACTGACTCTCAGGGAAACGTCCTCCATCATGATCCAAGAGCGGCAGGAGGAGCATCCACAGCCGGAGCAGGAGGACGAAGCTCGGGAGGAGGAGCAGCAAGAGCAGGGTTCACTCAGGCACACGAAGCTGACGAAAGACGAGGCCTCTGAAGCTCCACGAGGCGAGTTCACTGAACCACCGACGCGCCATGAAACAGAGAAGCCGGGCATTCGGCCGTGTATCGAACCGTCGAGATTCATGTGGCTCGAACCCATGGCTTCGACCAGTACGAGGAGTGGAGTGTTCAGTGGGAAATGAAAACGTAAAATGATGTTTTTTTTTTTTTTTTTTTTTTTTTGCTTTGCTTTTGTCTGTTTTATTCTTTGATGATGATCGGAAGTGAAAGTATAAAATTATGAAATGAGATTTATTTCTCTTTCTGTCTGTTTGTTTGTGTTTTCTGCTGAGGAGTATGACTTATGAGTTACATGTGTTTTTATACGTTATACAGAAAGAAATAGGCGAGTGTATGCGTGCGTGTGTGTTTAGGTCGATCACTGAAAAGTTATAATTAATGTAAAACGTATTTCAAATCCAGAATCTACTGTAACTAAGTAAATGATTCACATTACATATTGCATATGTCACATTGTTGAAAGTGCTCTATTGTCAGAAAATCTACACTATAACTAAATCATCGTCTTTCCATATTTTGATTTCATTCCCATGGTTTCCTGACATCGCAAGCTATAGGAAATGTGACTATTATGGTATGAATGAAAGGAATACATACGGAAAGCTTACATGTATATATACACAATGAATATATATGTGTGTGTGTGTGTAAATATATATACTTATACATTCATACATATGTATATATGTATAAATATACATATGAGCATATATGTATATGTGTGTATATATATATATATATATATATATATATATATATATATATATGTATGTTTGCGCACGCACACGTGCGCACACACACACACACACACACACACACACACACACACACATATATATATATATATATATATATATATATGTGTGTGTGTGTGTGTGTGTGTGTGTGTATGCAAATATATATACATATAAATGTTCAAATGTATATATATACATATATATGAATATATATTTATAAATAGTCATTCATATATATATATATATATATATATACTTATACACACATATATATATATATATATATATATATATATATATATATATATATATAAGTACACACACATACACACATATATATATGCGTGTGTGTGTGTGACTGCATGCGTGCGTATGTGAGCGTGTACCAGAAATGAAGAAGCGCCAAAAGAAAGGAGAAAAGGAAAATAGAATAAAGCATGTACCATGATCGGTTTGCTTATTTCTCTTCCCTGTCTTTTCTAATTTGCACATGAACTGGATTTACACAAGATTATTTACAAACCTGTAATATGATTCAATAAGATATACGGCACATTTATATATGTATTCGTATATACATATATCAAGTCCAAGCACAGAGAACGATTCAGGTACATGCCAATATACACACACAAATCCATGCATAGACACAAGTATATATATACAGCATGTATGGTTATAATCAAATACGAGTATATATGGAAATATTCATACAACTATTATCTCTGGTGCAATCCAATCCAAAATGATTTTGTAAGAGAACGTAAATTACCTCTCTGACAAGACCTCAAACACACTCACTCCAGGTTAAAAAGAAAGACTACACGACCCATTAGTAATACTGACTAACCAGATTATACAGTATATTAACCTTCTGGTA